ATGGACTCAAGCGTGGCAACAGTAGTGAGGTTGGCGCAGGATCGGGCAGTGTTTGGTTCTGCTGTGCATAAGGTCGCTATAAGTCATTACTGACTCGATGGCACCTAACAACAACTCTTTTTTCCTCCTCTTTCTTCTTTTAGTCGAGTTCTGCTCATCCAGCCATTAAATCAGGTCATGGGTACTATCTGAAAGTGTGGGAGTTCTTGTGCATTTCCCCTCACTTCATATCATCTGTAGTCCTCTGTGGCCATGTCCCTGTCCCTGGGCCCAGGAGTCACCTGCTAGCCAACCAGGTCTCAACCTGGGTTGACAGGAGTCTACTGAACGTGGTCAGACATAATGTTGCTGTTTTTCTCCAAATTCCCCTTATTGGTGACCAACGTGGTCACCAGGAAGACTGTATGCCTGCTCATGTATTCCTTTTGAATCTCAGTCATGGAAGGGGATTTACCCTGAGGGGACTCGACCGCGTGCTTTGATGGCTCCCGGGCAAACAACTTGCTTATTCTTGTACTTGTCAGTCAGACTGCCGTTACAGTTTTTTTATTTTTCCTGTCGGTCTTTCTTTCAAGAAGTGTCTTCTGTTCTTCTAGCCACTCCAGGCTAGTCTTGTTGTCATTTCAAGTGGAGATTTCCCGCCTCAGAAGATTCTGGATGTGGGTCGGGATTCCACCTGTGGTCTTATGCAATGCAGAGGCTCCACAGGAAGCCTCCTTCACTGGGCAAGTGCTAACCCCATTTCAGGTATTCCAATCAGCTGTAGGCAGAAGACAGACTTCTAGGCTTTCTGTGGTGATATTTCTGGTTATTCCTTTCTCCCCACTCCTCAAGTGTCTATTTTACAATAGAAGGGAAACCAAGATTCAAAACACAGCCAAGCATTTTAAAATTACTTCTTCTGTTTTACCCATTTAAACCATGCCTCAGTCCCTGTATCCCACAGCCCTGTTGTTCTAAGGTTGAGCATACATCACTATTTACCTCTTTCCCACTTAGCCCATGCAAACGTGCCTAACCGTTCTCCCATCCACCTTGTTCTTCCATTCCCTTCCCCCTTCTAGTGTATTGCCCCCCTCTCCAAACTATCCTGTCTCTATTCCCTACCTTGTGCTCCACCTTCCTCTCCCTCCTCTCACCCCACTCCATACACCCTGGTAACCAGCAAAGAATCCCCCCTCCCACCCCCCATCTAATGCAGAACAATTTTTTGCAAAGGGATGTTTTTTGTTAGTAGGCACATAATCTAAGAAATAGGACCTTTCAGCCATGTATGCCATTGTCACGTGTAATTCCCTGGTTAGACTTGACACTGAACTGTGCAGGACTGGCGACTGTGCTTGGGCCCAGCCGTGAGGCTGCTGGACAGACGCAAAGCTGTCTGCCTCATTCCTGGAAATCTGCATTTGTGCATGGAAGCGGTGACGCGGCTCTCAGAAATGCTGTCTTTGAAACAGCATTCATCAGCAGGTTCTTCATTCTGGTGTTCAAATCTGTTTTGTTTTCAAATCCCAAGGACTTGAGAATATAGGACAACTTCCTTGTCTTAAGGAACAACGTCACAAAATCAAAGCTCCAACGAATGGCTTCTTAGCCTTCAGTGTGAGAGCAGGACGTGCAGCTTCTGCTTCGTGGACCTGTTTGTGTGTGTGCTTGTGGTGAACAGAAGCAGTCGTGAGCTCCCAGCAGGGTGGGGGTGTGACACGCCCCTCCTCCTTCTCCTCGTAGGTCTGGAGTTTGCATACTCAGCCGCCCCCAAGTCCATGCAGAGTGCCATCATGGGTTTGTTCTTCTTCTTCTCCGGCATCGGTTCCTTCGTGGGCTCCGGCCTCCTGGCCTTGGTGTCTGTCAGGGCCATCGGGTGGATGAGCAGCCACACAGACTTCGGTAAGAGTCACACCCATCTGCAAAGGCGACCCTGGGCTGCTTCGGGGTTGTGGGCATTGGGAGACGGCTTTACGGGATTCCTGTAGCCCTTGTGGTCTCCACCTTCTCTGCTCAGCGCCCCACACTGCCTCCATGGGGTCTCACCACTAGTACCACTAGGTGGTGTCTTGGGTGGTGGGCAGAATCTCTCACACAAAATCACTATTTTTGTCTCCAGGATTACTGAGTTAATTAAGCGTACCAGGAGATGAAGGGGTTTTGGTTTCTTTCGGTTTTCTGTTTTACTCATGGAAGAATACATTGAGAAGTACTTTTCTCGTGTAAATACGTTTCATTTTCCAGTGTCCGGTGGTACTGTGGTTAAGTGCTTGACACTAACCAGAATTCAGTGGTTCACAGCCGCCATTCTAGTCTGCCCTGCTGGGACACTGGGAGTCAGGATCAACAAGCGGGCAGGGGCTTGCTTGCTGCACTTAATCAGCCATGCCAAGGCTATAAATCCCTTGGAAATATCATGAAAGGGTTGTTTCCCAGAAAAATGGGAGAGTACCTCACATAGCCTCATGGTAGGGGAGAATAGGGGATGTTTTGTTGTTATGTGCCATCGAGTTGATTCCAGTTCATAGCGACCCTGCATAGGGTTTCTGAGGAGCGTCTGGTGAGTTCAAACCAACCTTGAGGTCCAGGACTAGGTGCTACATCAGGATTTGTTGTGAAGTGCCGTCGAGTCAGTTCTAACCCATAGTGACACTGTATAGGGTTTCCGAGGAGCATCTAGTGAGCTTGAACCGTCAACTTTGCAGTTCAAATGGCTTAGGACCTCACAAATGGCTGAGGACACCACAGATGGGGGACGGGGAGGACAGAGGTGGGGTGGGACCTCACATGTGGAGGAGGACCCCACAGAGTGGGGAAGGACAGGAGTTGGAGGGGGCCACCTCACAGCTTTCTGTCTCTGTCTTCATGACAAGTTAGAATCCCACACCGCCTCCATTGGCTCCGGGTTCACCTGTGACAGGCTTAGCACCCAGCGCTGGAGGGCAAGTGGCCTTGGCTGTCACCCCCAGCTCTGCGGTAGGTGTGCCCCCAACCAGTAGCAGCTTCTGACTTACTCTGGGCTCAGTGACTGTCAAAAGCAGATGGCCCATCACGCTTGGGTGTGCTGATGTGGGGGAGGATGAGGCCTGGGGACAAGTCGTGTCCAGGACGAGAGGCAGTAGGTGTCTCTGCGTGGAAGGTTTCATGTCCTTGTTTCCTTTCCAGCCGCCCTTGCAGCAGCTGGCTCTCCCTTTCTTTACTGTGACTGCTTTTACCTGGGGCCAGCACCCACCTCAGAAAGCCCCGCGAGTGCTTTCCTCCCCTCTTAGGAGTCTGGCCTCTTCTCAGGCTTCCTCTCAATGACTCTCCTGGTATGCATTCTTCTCTGGCTGGCTGTTCTCCTGGGGTGTCTTCTGCCTTCACTAGTCCCCGTCTGTGGGGTCCTCCTTCGCTGTCGGTCGCTCTTTATTTCTGCGTCACGTCTGCAGTAGCCAGACATCACAGCTTGTCCATTCTGTGTGGACAGAGTTTGTGATGTTGGTGCTCTGGGGATTTTGGAACATTCTGGAACACGGACGTTCCTGACTGGGTACCCACGAAGTCCAGGGTGATTGGGTCTCAAATGGGGTGGAGGCATTTTGAAGACCCTACAGAATCCCAGGGGACCCTGGTGTCGGTGTGGTCAGACGTTGGCCATTCCGACCCACCAGCCTCGCAGTGAGAGTCAGACTCACCATCGGCGACTCCAGGACACGTGCAGCCGTGGGAGCCTGGCGGCTTGGGTGCCGTGGCCGCTGGGATTGAGCGCCTGCAGGGCCCTTCAGTGCCTCAGAGGCTGGAGACGCACCTGTTCTTGCTGTTTCTGTTACATGGCTTCCATTAGCAGTCCTCCCGACTAGGCAGAAGCAGATGAAGCGGTGAAGGCCGCTGGGCTGTGTCTGAAGGCGCTGACCTGGGCTTTCTCTCTGCTTCCTCCAGGTAACATCAACAGCTGCTATCTGAACTACTACTTCTTTCTTCTGGCGGCCATTCAAGGAGTGACCCTCCTGCTTTTCCTCATTGTGTCTGTGAGATACGACCGTCAGCGATCACGAGCCAACAGTGAGCCCGCCGGCAGGAGAGCCTGACACTTGGAGGGCGGGGGGGACCCTAGCATTGGCTGGACTGGTGTGTGGGCACTGGATGGCACAGGGCACCGAGGTCAGGCCGGCGCGGTGTCACGCTGCCGCCAGGTGCCTGCCTTAGCCAGCACCTGCATGTTACTGAAATTGTTTCTTCTACCCCAAAAATAGGTAAGTGCCTTACTCTGCCCATCTCCTGAGACCGAGTCCGGCGGGGGTGGGCAAGTACCCCGCTTCTCATCGCTGGAGCCCCCAGTTAATCTGAGACTCTACTTCCTTCTGTCACAAACCCCACAAATCCAGATCCCAGAGTCTTTGGAAACCACACGTACATAGGCTGGTACAAGAATTTTTTTTTACAACAAATACTGCTGTTTCCTTCCCATAAACCATATGGCTTCTCTCTGTGTCTCTCTCTTTAAATTAATAAGCATCTCATGTGGAGGAAATGGAGAAGTCCGTCTCAAGGTAAACGGGCTCAGATGCCGTAGTGATGGTGCACACATAATACTTCATGCATACGCCCCTCATCTTGCCATTGTGAAGTTTGGGGAGTTCTTTGGTTCATGCTGCTCATGAATTTGTTTTATCTGCTTCAAAAAAGTCAGCTGGCTTTTCTTTGTAAAGTAAGAAATGTGTCAGGAAAATCTAAGGCCTTGGAAGCCTGTCTGAAGGTACTAACCAGCTCACGTGACTTGAAACTTGTCTTAACCCTTCCCATGTCAGTTGTGTTTCTTCTGGACGCTGGGAGACTGAAGACCGCTGCGGGGAGATGTACGGAAAACACATTTGGTGCAGAATCAGCTCCACTGGTCGAACTTGAACTGTCTACCGGGGCTTCCGCTTTTGTAATAGTTACTTTATGTGGATCTTGTTAAATAAACTATTGTGTATTTGTTGGTGTGGTTTGGTGTCCCCGTTAGAACCCAGTGAGTCTCAGTCAGGCTGTCCAGCAGCCCCGTGGATGGGTCCCTCTGCGTGCTCAGTGGGAGGAGCCGTACCTGACGAGGAGCGCCAGTGAGGTGGCACGGCTCTCAGATGCTGTCAGGTGGAGGGATACGGAACAGCGCACAACACTGATCCTCACACGCCGCTTACCCAGGGGACCCGCGGGAGTGGACGGCGGGAGGCTCTGCCCTGGCTCTGGGCGGCTGGGGTGAACCTGGGCAGGAGAGGGAGAGAAGAAGGGTTTCCTCAGGGAAGCGGAGACTACAGTCTGTTCCTGAGCTCACTCAGTGCGGACCCCAGGGTGGTGTATGGGCCTGATGTGAGCACCGGCCCTGTAGACCCCACCCGGCAGAGGCATCCATCCCGTGGGGGGCTCGGAGCTGGGAGGACCCCAATGGTCGGGAGGGACTGACAGCCATGTAGGTAGCGGCTGTGGGACCCCTTTGCTGAGGTCGTTGGGCGATCACGGGAAGGCAGCTGGTGTGCTGGTCTGGAAAACAGTTCCTTTTCAGTGTCTTTCCGGCTCTCAAAGCAAACCTTACTCTCCTCGGAGACGCGCATGCTCATTTCTCGGCATCAGAGTCTCGTGGGGCCCAGCTCCACATCGCTGGTCTCAGGTGGACCTAAGGAGAAAGGTTTCGTGCTTGGGAAACGTGCATCCAGACCTGTCACAGCCCTCTGCTTGTTGCGGGGGTGGGGAGTGTGTGTCAGCGTCTTGTTACTTTATTACTATACACTGTCAGTTGAGGTAGGCTATATTGCAGTACGTGTCAATTCAAAACAAAACATCCAGTCATCTCAGTGCATGGTGCCGGTGCAAAACTCTGATCCCTTATCAAACCCACGTACTAGTGCCAGATTGTTCCTCTCCGTGCGGAACTGTGTGTCACTGACAACTTGTTGTTGTCAGGTGCCATCGAGTCGAAACCGACTCATAGCGACCCCAGGCACACCAGAACGAAACAATGTCCGATCCTGGGCCAACCTCACTACCGCCGCCACATTTGACACCATCAATGATGCCACCTGGCCAATCCATCTCGTTGGGGGTCCTCCTCTTTTTCTCTGACCCTCCACCATGACATCCTTCTCCAGCGACTATTCCCTCCGGACAATGTGTCCAAAGTATGAGAGATGAAGCTTAGCCATCCTGGCCTCCAAGGAGCACTCTGGCTGCACTTCTTCCAGAACAGATCTGTTGGTTCTTTTGGCAG